GTATACTAGTTCAGTAGTTGCTTAAATAGTACATGTATTACAGTAATTCAACGCATCAGCCGATAATTTTTAATATTTCTTAAATGGACAGCCCGTTGATTTATGAACAGAGTAATTAAGGTCATTTCGTGTGCCAGATTGAATTAATGATAATTATCTTCAACTAGAGAAATTAAAACGAAAGTAGAGAGCACGGAACAACAAAGCACCCCAATTATGTGTACAGAAGAAATTCGTGATCCCCTATCCCTTCCATGGCCAGTTATACATTATTATTTTATTCTATCTGTGTTACGTTAACCTTATTTCCACATCCATTATTTGTTTGTAATTTTCCGCCTCTTTGTATTCTTCACTATCTAATTATTTACACACATCTTATTACGTAATGATTTTAATGTTTTGTGATTACTATTCCTAGTCTATTTACCCATGTTTGTTTGACCTTCTAAAAGCACTAATTCCCAAAATACATGAATCAGGTCTACCTAAATGCGTGTGTCATGTGACACAGTGATATACTGTTGATGTTATTCAAATTAGTTAAACTTGCTAAGGACGGTGTTAACACAAAGTGACAGCAAGTTTATTGGTTTTACTTAGGGGACGCACTAATAAAAATGGCAAAACTTTTAAAGATCCTATAAAAAAACTTGTGGAATGAGATACACATACAGGTGCATTTTCAGAGGAGCAGTTTGCATCGATGCAGCGAACAAATAATGGGAGTGATTTTATCGTACAGATAGATTCTGGTAGGTTATTCCAGAGTCTAGAAAATAACATACCCAAGAAAGTTGAGGGAGTTGATTACACTTTGGCGATTCTGTTTGTTTACTGTAATTCACGTTCGTGGTGTCTATGAAAAGCGAGGTCTACGTGTTGGGAATTGAATTATCTGTTTGAACTATTGTACGCGCCGAACACGTTTCCTCTTGAAGCCCGTAAAGTTAAAAATAATACTGCTTAAGATTCCTCGAATTCGCCAATCAAATTACAAGAATAGTGAAACTTTAGAAAATGATCCATCGACCAGACAACAGCGACTTCCAACCCAGTGCGGCCAGGAACCGGGAAAACATGCCAAAGAATGTGACGACCCTTTTATAATAATAATATATTTCCGCACGAGCAGGTACACGCCCCATTTTTACGGACATTAACTATAAATTACAACATTTGTTGGTGCACAGCATGCTTCCCAACTTATTAAGTTTATGGTTGTTATAAAGTAGACTCGCAGAACGCATGCTGTAAACCATGACCTTGAGGAGACGCGTACGTCAAGTTTGTTCCAGACGTCAGAAGTTCCAAAGCTGTGCCCTCAGAGCAAGATTCTAAAGAAAAAAGAGAAAGAGAAACAGAAGTGCAGAAAGGCACTTGGATATGAACGCCAAACGTTGTTTACATTGTGTAGTAGAACAGACAGAGGTATAATAAATTAGATAAAATTCATATTGTCTCTTGTTAGAATGAAATGAAGTCAGAGGCTCCATATAAGAGAATGTAGTAATAATGAACAATGAGTTGTGTTGCTTAACAAGTTGGAGTAAGCTCACATAGAGGAAAGGAAGTCAAGGTTGATACAAGGAAAGCGGTATATTAGAAGGGAGTGTGCATATAGAGAGTGAAGTGTTAGGAATACTAATGACTACATCTTTTGTTGTCTAAATTTTTTTCCTTTTTTGTTTATCCGATGCCAGCCACACAATCCTAGTGTAAAAGCCCGAGTTAGCATGTTATAGGTTGTCTTAACAGAATAGCTAATCCAGCATAATATTGGAAACATGAGTCCGAGTGGTGAGTGGTGAGCGTAGGCAGACAATCTATATAACAGATTGATTGACTTGTTCTCAACCATAAAGAGCCTGATACATTCAAAATGTTCTGTCCCACAAACACTGGTGGATTGAAGTCATCGCCCTCACCATCAGTACTTGCTGGTCAGTAACTCCACTCTCCCTCCTTTTGTGATGTTAGGCTCATTTAAGCTTAGTTTTGGATATATATCATACCTCACACAATCCTCTGTGTTTTACATCCTGTTGGAAAACACTATTTCTATAAGTACCATTTTACAAGCTTATCAGGCAGTTACAAGCTATGGACTGTGGGTAAGGCATCGATGCAGTGCTTTTGTTGACTACAGTATAAAGCATAGTTTGCCAATTACAGTATAAGCATTAAGAAGGGTATAATGTAGGATAGTTGTTTATTAAAGCAGGCGGAAAAGTATAGAAGTTTATGAGTCGTAGATAAGGTAACGAGCGGAGAAATAATATTAATTGCTAGTCAACATTGCGTACAGAAGATTAAAAAGCTAATAAAGAATAAACAGGAAGAAACTCACACTAACTTGGTGCTGATGTCATTTTGTGTTGTCTAATCAGTTGATGGATAACAGGCTCCATAGATGCAAGACCACTGGTAGTAGGCATCTAGACGTAAAACGAAATAGAACTATGTAGCTTCATATTGAACAGAATATTAAACTAACCAGAATAAATAAGCAAAGTTATGGTTTCAAACACATAAATAAACTATTATACACCTTAAATTCGATGAAGATGAATGTATGGATGACGTTTTAATTGCCAGTCATGCTCATAGGAGTGAAACGACCTGTTGACACTCCTACATTTATCGAATCCAGAGTCAGTGTTACTAACGGATCTTATTTAAGTACTACATTACATCTGCCGGCCCTCGTGGTAGAGCAAAGGCCATCCACCAGCATTAGCCGTGGAACTCTGTCCTGGGTAATCCTTTGTAGTCGTTTCCAGTTGCTATTCAACCTTTTCATATCTGCTTCCTATTATTTTCCTAGTTTCCGCCTCATCTAGAAGCCGGTTTGTCCTCTCCCATAGTAGGATGTCGCTGATGATGTCCGGCCGACGGACGTTGAGTACCTAACGTAGAAAATTATTTATAAATACTTCTACGTTTTCGACGATGGTTGTAGCGGTTTGTGGTGGTATTTATTACTGACCACTTGACCTTTGAATCTGAACGTATAAACACTGAAAGGTTTTACATTCACCATGTTTGGCTCTCCTCCGTTGTTTATACACGGCATGCTGATCTTCTTGTAACTTACGAACCTAAAGTTAACAATAGGTCCAAACACCAAATCACGCATCGACGTTTATTCGCAATTTACAAACAATCGACCTAAATATCGTTCTAATAATAACTATAATACTTACAAAACAAACCTTATATTTTTACGTCCCTGGAGCGAAAACTCGTAAATACCAAATCAATCACGAAGGGGACACAAAATGTCTCAGGATAAAGATATAAACAAACAAGTTCAGAAGTTGTGTGGAACATAAGCATCTAAAAATAGTGAAATTATTAAAACTCAACACGGCAGTTTATAAACAGCCAAATGTCTTCAGTTCTCAGCTCTTCCAGCATATTACTGATATAAGTAAATACTTACTACGCGCAGTACTGCAGTGCTCCAGTGCATCACATTTACTAAAGCTGAACTAAATTTCAGCGTCATCGTGTCTGTAAGCATTGCAGTTCACAGCTGACCTTGAATTGACTTTTTTTCTTTTTTCAAACTGCCCAAGGTATGGACGGTGTAGTAACTTGGTTATACTGCTTCACAAAGCGGTTGTTTATCTTTTTAACTAGTTCTTATGAGTTGATTTTTTATATCCCATAGGGAGTTTAAAAAATGGTTGTTTCTTTGCAAGCTTTCTGTACAACGGTCCAGTTTGAGTATTAGCTTTATAGACCATACCACGGTTGGAAATGCACACAACGATCACGTAGTTATTTACTTCGTTTGCTGGCAGTTGCCCAATTCTGCTGAGAAGTCTTATACGTGGACGAAACGGCTGTCCAGCGCTTCCAGGTCTTCACTGGGTGTCTAGCCTACTTCGACTCACGGGTTCAACCATTGAAATATCGAGTTTAAATGAAAGAATTCGGATTCCAACAGCTTATGAAGGTTCACATCCCCTGAGATCCATGTTTCTATGTAAGCTAAGCCAACAGAAGGGTTCATCACTCACATGTAACCGGTGGATTTTTAGCATATATTTCATATGGTAGTAATGTTTTATAAGTCCGTGTAGTGATATGTCGTTAAAAACAGATAACTTTGAAAATATCACGGATATACAGAGCTTGAGAACACTTTAATTTGTAACCACCCCTAATGTAAGGACCCCAATGACGATCAAAACAGAAGAGATTGTATTGTGCAAAAATATTTTTGAATTCGAGATCAATCTACTGTATTCTACGGAATACAAGCTGACCAACTGCCACAGACTACATGGAATATCAAAACGTGATCTGGTATAGATCATACACAGGCCTCTTCAAGCTAGGAGCTTGTAATCAAGCTAATAAAGTTAACATAAAATTTTAGGACTTGTAAAGTTGTTTCGATTGGATTGATTGTTTTCTGAATTTCATGCACTTGAAGATGCCACAGGTATTTGGAGTCCGACAACGCTTTAGCCAGTAACACCTATTATGAATCGTACCCACCAAGTGAAATCAAAAGACAGAAGCAGGGAGGTTCGAAGACATATTTGATAGGTAATCAATATATCGTGGATCGACTGGTCTAATCTGGCCAGCGAGTGCAGGGGATGTTGAGCACTGCGTCCCCACTAGTCATCTGGTGCGGAGGCATGACCGAGCGCCTTCAGCTAGGTGAGTCCATTAAAACTAATGCGGTCAGCATCCAATGTCGAAAACTTACAGAGCTATTTATTTTGGGGATTTATTTACGACTACACGCTACCATAAGTTAGTGAACTTGGCGATATACGAGGTGATGTGAAAAAAAAGTAATTCGGTGAATAGGACCCACTCAAAACTATAATTTCGTTTCAGGTATTTCCGTGGAATATGAAAAGAGGCGATCACCGTAATAGATGTCTTTATTTGTTTATCTGACTGCTTCTTCTGATATTTATGTTCACTCACCTTGACTCTAAAGTTTCGGCGGTACTTGAAGTAACTCTGCAGTCATGTCGGTTAACGCTGCTAGCATGCTTACCCTCGGGGGAGAAAGGACGAGCGGCGAATCTGTTCGCAAACAAAATGGTTAGTTTCCTTATGTTTGTCTGGCATTAAAAGGTTTATTTTTTATCAAGTTCTGCGACAATATTTTGCACAGATACTGTTTTGTATATGGTGGAAATAAAAACATTCAAAGGAATGAAAACCCCCGGTAATTAGTTACCTATGTTTTGAAGGAAGTGGTTAGCTTTTTTTAGGTATTTAAATAAATACTCGTGTGATAACCAAAACTCTAGGTTCGTCATTGCTGCTAGTAAAGGCGTGTGTTCCAGACATAAAGCTTGGTCAAAACGTTTGTATGATAATGCCGTTCAATATTTTGTCTCATGGTTAGCTTCATTCCCTTTATTAGCTCGCGGGTAATGGTAATTGAGCTGTGACCAAAACTTTGACTTGGGTAATGAGTCATATGGAATGAATAAGTCATAGACTTAAAGTGCTCTTATGACAGTTCACGTTATCCGCAGGAAGTACGGTTTTCTTAAAACAATGCCTAGTAGTGTTATGTGAGATATGGAACTTGAAATGGAAGTATTTTTTCTACGTTTCATCGTGTCGATGCGATGAGCTGCAAGTGGAGCATGCAATATGTTTGTGATTTTAAAATAAGGAGAATGTTTGCACACAAGTTTTTCTCGTTAGATGAACGATTCGCATTAATACCTTGGCAGACCAAGTGATCCAACCAGATTTCTATTCTATGCCTTGAATTCATCAGTTCCTTCTAATTTGGTTGACCTATTTCATTTATTTATTTTAACACAGGTATTGGTACAAAGAGGCACTAAATACATATGCGCCACACAAGTCTCATTTGATATGTGTGACGACTGTGATACTGCCTGGGTGCCTAAGTCGAACCAGGTGGTTTTCTTAGGAAGCCACACCCGGAGCTTTTGATCTAAAGATCTGATCCACAAGGCAGTGGGGCAACATCAGGAGATGCAGTCTCGTGGTCGCCAGTGACCAACGATTGGTTCATGCGCTATTTGTTTCCATGTGCACCATTGGTTTTGAATGAGGGTTTTCCAACTCCCCTAGGTGGACTCTCCATGTCCACCAACCCGGTTAAAGCGCCGGACATTCGCTTTCGTCCTCTCAATTTCGTAACAAACACCCACCACGAGAAGGCAGTGAGTAGGACTTCTCTGGTAGAGGCTATATATGTGTGGCCATGTGAGAGCATTTGGCGAGGGAGAAGGGACTCCACACTCTGCCGTACCAGGGCAGATACATGATAAGTTGATCAATGCCTCAAACAAGCTGAACTAGCAGATTATATCTCCGTTTATTAAAATGATTGGGATCCTTTCATTTTAGTAATTTGGGTTTCGTCTAATACCTACAGAACTACTTTTTGTTACGTGCGTTTTGGAATCGTGTGAGATTATCAGATTCAGAGAAGAATCATTTACTTTTCTAGGAAATTTTTGTTTCACAAAAACCACGTAGTATAATATTACTAGATAATAATCTTTCAAACTGGAGTAGAAGTTAAGCCTTGTCTGTTGGTAAGTACAAAGTCCTAATGTGTGCAAATTAAAATACTCTGAAAACGTTTTTATGCCAAGTAAATCATAAACGAAGTATGTTTTCCTAAACGCAACATAGAGCATTGTGTTTATTATTTCCAAAACTCTCAATACCTAATTTAATGATTGTAATCTACGTAGTTGCTTGTGTTTGAAGTTTTGTTATAATCAAAGTAATGAAAAATAAAAGTTTAAATGCTTAGTTCGATTATCTCCAAATCATACTACGTTGATGTCGACTCCTCGTTTCTGGTCACATTTGCAAAGATTAGTAAACATTAAACCCGTTCAAATGACCCTCAGAGGTTTAGATCCGATCAGTTAACGTCTGAGTATGGAACAGGTGTGCGTTGACTTGAGTTCCCAAACCGTGGGATCACATTAATAAGATTAACATCAACAGAAACCGAAGTAATGTAGTATCAATGACAGTAGGGAGGATTCAAAATCAAGAGTATGATTTAAAAAGGTAGTGGAGAAATCCTGACATTTCACATCGCAAAAAATATACAGAGTAAGTGCATCTTTGTCATTACTAACGATTTTGAGTTATCATCAGACGTCTCCGGTCACGGATCGCGGTCATTTTTCGGACTCAATCAGGTAGCCTGTGTCCACTTGCATGACTCAGATCATGTCTTTAACATCATGAGCTGCCGCTAGGTTTCATTCGACCGCTTCTAGCTTTCAGACTACTGTGCTAGTAAACATCATCTGTCGAGGTAGGCGGTAATTTGGCATGCGTAACATCACCTCAATCGATGGGTATACGCAACCTCATCAATGTATTCGACACCTTCATTTTATACTGTGCATCTTACCTCAACGTTGTTCACTCATTCACCGCGCGAGATGTAAGCAATGCATTAAAGACACTTGATCAATAAACCTTCAGCCCATGCTTGTCTTCTACTTTCGAAGACCACAATTTACTGGCTAAGATAGGTATCAACTAAAGTGTAGAAGTATTAGGTAGTACGATTTAATTATTGGTCATACCATATTGAATCGTTATATTAACTGGGAAAGCTAACCTGGCCATTTTTTTCGAATACTGTGGAGTGTTTTAGGATTTGACTCCATAATATGAGAATAAACCTGTCAAATTTGGTATGAACGAGCATCCATACATGCATCAAAATCTGATGATAAACCTTTATGCTGTAGTGCTTGATAGGACTGTGATATACATGGAAACATTTTTGACATTCTTAATTGCTAACCATATGATGAATGTTATGTGCTAAAAGTTAATCTGACCGTTCAAAACATGCATTATGTTACGTAACAGCAATAAGACATTTTTAAATGAAGTAGATATATAAGGAGATTAGATTTATTTGGTCAGTATTACTTCTGAAATATCTGGCGTTTCCTATAATAACTGGAAGATTGGTATAGCGGCATATGGTTGAGGCAAAATGAGCTCAATCAATAAATCTAAAAAGTGTTTCGTCAGTTTTTAGTTGCGAGCCACTTCAACTTGTTATATATTTAAACCAATTCATCTCAGAATGTTTTCAGAGTCGTCAACATTCTATAAACTTGTTAACTACTGGTTTTAGCCATAAAATCAATAGTCGTTATTCAGTAACTAGTCAGTAACCTCACTTGTGTGTGATAAGTTTTTACTTTGTTTCTGACCGTAATTCATGGACAGTTATCTCAACTAATCTAGATGTATCCACATCTCTTAAAACATAATGGCAGCTTTTTGCTTGTGTTCCTCATTCATATTGTTTGTTTATTGTTATTCACCATATCCTAGTAGTGTGCTTTTCCCTATGAAGCTATTTAAACGACTAAACAATCATACAGTTATTTAATAGTTTCACCGTTTCTAAGATAACTGCTACGAGGTTTGAACTTCAAGAGTTTACTAGTTCTCTAATTATTTAAATCCAGTCGGGTTCAGGATAGCTCTTGCTTCGGTAGCAAGTTAGATCATCACTTGGGGTAGCTCATTAACGTAAATTACAATGAACCTATTACTTACCTCCCTACACTCATATGCAGAAGGGTCAGGTAGCAATAGAAATCATCTTTAACCATATGTAGTTGATATAATGTTCTGCTTAAATTTGCTCGTTTTTGAATCAATTTCCGTTCTAATTACAGTTCTCGCTGCTTGCTCAATTGCTAACATCGTTAAGACCAGCCTAGGTCCTGTCGGTCTTGATAAAATGCTGGTAGATGACGTTGGAGACGTGACAATCACTAACGATGGGGCTACTATTTTGAAGTTACTTGACGTTGAGCATCCTGCAGCAAAAATTCTTGTTCAGCTCGCGCAATTACAAGATGAAGAGGTTGGGGATGGGACAACATCTGTTGTGATTCTGGCTGCTGCACTGCTCAAGAATGCAGACGAACTGATTTCTCGTTTTGTTCATCCTACCATAGTAATCAATGGTTATCGGTTGGCCTGTCGAGAAGCTTGTAAGTATATACAAGAACACATGGCGTATGATGTAAATAAATTGGGTAAGGCTGGGTTAGTAAATGTGGCACGAACCGCTATGTCAAGCAAACTTATCAATTTGTAAGTTATTCACTTCGGTTGTACATATTATTGCTTTTAGAGATGCTGAAATGTTTTCACAAATGGCTGTGGATGCACTTATGGCTGTTGAAGTCTCTGGAGGTCCCAAAGGTCCTGTTTATCCCATAAAAGCAGTTAACATTCTGAAAGCCCATGGACGATCAATGTCAGAGAGCATGTTGATAGATGGTTATGCTCTGAATTGCACAGTTGCCAGTCAACAGATGCCTCGAACAATAAAAAAGGCGAAAATTGCCTTTCTGGATTTCAGCTTACAAAAAGTTAAAATGAAACTGGGAGTTCAAGTATGTTTAATATAGAAATCATTATATTCTTCGAAATACTAAGAAATTGATTAAAAATGATAAATACGAAATGTCATGTAAAATATTTTACTGTCGTAGATTATTTGGATAAAGTAGATTAAAAAGGTTCAATTAAAAATAAATACAACTAAACTCTGTCAGTCTGGAGGGCTCTCCTTTCGATTTATGAAGAACATAATAGGGAACAATAGCAAAGTCGCTACTGACTTCAATTTAGTCATGAATGATAGTAAACTGAACCACTGAGTTGCAAAGTACCATAATGAAACTAAACTGCTGGTCCTATACATTTTTCTTTTATATTAGGATTCTATTTTGTCACCTGTGAACTATCCATCCAGTACTAGCGTCGCCAAATAATGTAAGATATGGGAGCCTCCAGGGTGAAATTTGTGAAATATGAAAACTACAGATGTGAGGGTTTCAAGGTGCTATTCAAATATAAAGCTAAATAATCGGTCTCATAACCGTGTATCATGGCGTTTGATATTCTTCTATGATAGCTTTCGCAAACTGTCTGGTTCACTAAATTTATCAAAGTGGTCATTTTTGTTAAACTGTTTTAGAAAGTTAAGACTTCACTTCACTTTTTAAAATCTTTTGAGTAGCTTATCACACAACTCGACAAAAATCTGGTTAGCAAGATTAGTTTTTTGTATTATCAAACTAATTTGTGAACAGAATATCTACTTTTATTTTGTCATTATTTTTCCCTAATTATTTATTGTAACAGGTTGTGGTTAAGGATCCTGCCCAACTGGAAGCTATCCGTCAACGTGAAGCTGATATCACAAAAGAACGTATACAAAAGATTCTTAATGCTGGTGCTAATGTCATTCTTACAACTGGTGGAATCGACGATTTATGCATGAAGTATTTTGTTGAAGTTAATGCTATGGCTGTACGTCGATGCAAAAAAGTTGATCTGAAAAATATGGCAAAAGCAACTGGAGGTCAGCTTATTGTTAGCTTAGCAGATATGGAAGGTGATGAAGTTTTCGATCCAACAAAGTTAGGAAATGTAATTCATTAGTTTATTTCAGTTTAGTTAATTCAAAAAACTTTATTTTTGGTTTAGGCAGAGGAAGTATCTCAAGAACGCATATGTGATGACGAATTAATTATACTGAGAGGTCCTAAAGTTCATCCATCGTCAAGTATCATTTTACGAGGTGCAAATGACTTTTATGTCGATGAAATGGAACGATCTCTACATGACGCACTTCTGGTTAGTGTCAATCTATATTATTTTATTTTTATTGTGATATTTTTCTGTTTTATAGGTAAAGGAACAGTCCATTTGTTAAGTTATATATTTAAATACAGATTCCTAATTTTTTCTAATCTTAATAGTTCATTGTTCACATAATGATACTTGTACATTGTGAGTTGTATGCATTCATCTTTATAACCATTAATGATTTTCAACCGTATCATCCAATGTATTCCACAATATTTAAGACTTATTTGATATAATCCAACCAGACAAGTTTTTAAGCATCTGCATGGTTCAAACTACCTTCAATTTTTTCCAATCTAGTAGTCCTAATATGATCGATAAGACATACTGAGGAAGGTGTAAATTTTTTTTACTGCCGTATCACCTGGTCATCAAGCTAAGCGTTAGATACTTTTTAGTCATCATGGTTGTTTAATATTTTGTGAATATTCATCTGTGTCCTTTGACTTATTATCTGTGTTATTTGTTACCTTAATACACTGTCCAACTGATTTTTACTTCTCAGTAAGATGGTAGAACGTGACGTATGCGAAAGCTAGGGGCAATCATTGTTTTTAACAATCATGCTAGAATAATAACAGGTTACAAAAAACATACACCACTGTAGGTTTGGGACTAACTACCCCAAACGGCCTGGTACGGCCGAGGGTGAGGAAAGTCTACTTCCCCTCTCGAAATGCTCTCATATGGCGATGTGCATACAACCACTGCCAGGGAAGTCCTAATCACTGCTTTCTCGCGGCGGGGGTGTTTACGAAATTGAGAGGACGAAAAGCGAATGTCCGACGCTTTAACTGGGTTAGTGGATATGGAGGATCTACCTAGGGGAGTAAGACAACCCAGATTCTTAACCAGTGATGCAAATGGGCTATAGAATCCTGAGAGAAAATGGCGTATAAACCTATTGTTGGCCACCGGCTACCACAAAAGTACATCTAATATTACTCCAATACCTTGTGGATTAGGCTTGTAAGTTAGTGACTTGGAGAGTGACATCCTAAAAAACCACCTGCTTCGGTTTGGGCTCATATATTTGATCCCCCCTTATACTAATGTTTATGTGTTTCAATAATAATATTAATAACATCAACATAACAAGCCGAATAGTAAAAGAGTTGATGAAACAGTCTTAGTACCAATGATGGTCAGGAAAACTAAGCAATTAATAATGAATAAGATTTCATGTATGAAGGAGTTCAAGATGTATAGGAAGGAAGAAGTAGAAAGTGCATCTGCACCACTGTAACCAATTCTAAGCCATATTATACGTCTCAAACCACTAATCACGTTTATGAGTAGCCCAGCCAGGTTGTCTGTACCTACCAACATGACACAGACAAACAGTGAGCGACTTCATGGAATAATGCAGTGATTTGCTTGAACACCTCTAGCTCGGAACTTCGGCAAATTATATTAGATCTATTATATCTATACATTATGAGTGAAGTATCGTTATTTTTTACTTGTTGACTAAAATGTTCCATTTTGTGACTCATTAATTTTAATTTTGTCAGGTGGTCAAACGAGTTCTGGAAAGCAAACGCATTGTACCTGGTGCTGGGGCTTGTGAAACAGCAGTCTCAATCTATCTGGAAAATTATGCTTTAACCTTAAGTTCACGTGAACAGCTAGCTATTGCTGAATTCGCTCGAGCTATGCTTTCTATTCCGAAACAGTTGGCTGTGAATGCTGGTGTCGATTCAACTGAACTAGTTGCACGTCTACGATCTTGTCACAATTCAAGTCAAAGTAAACCTGACCAAGCTCATTACAAGTGGTAAGTTGATAGTTCAAGTGTTCTCAAAGACGTTTTTCAAAGGTGTCGATACTTCTACGGATTTTAGTGGCTAAACATAGGATGGAGTCGAATGAGTCTTATAAACTATTCAACAGACCAGTACATAGTAAATAAATATTAAGGTTATTTATTTATATAAGTCATCCTTTCAACCGTTAGCGGACAAAGTAATCGAAAGGTAAGTCAAATAACGTCCACAGGGTTTGTGGAGTTAGTGGACAGCTCATTTCTACATGAAATAAGCATTGATGATGTCTAGAACAACAACGTAAGCTTCACATGAACTCAGAAAACATAACCAACAGTATACTTTTTATTTCCGTTCTTTTGCTTATCTACTCGCTTATATAGATATTTTTATACAAATAGACTAGCTATAATCATATCGGTCAAATTCAAACCATCCTCTATGTAAAGTATTTCTATTGTGTCTATATTACTGATTATTTTCATAATGTGTATTTTTGACAGCTGTAGAATAACATCAGCATTATTTCATTATTAAGTTAAATTGTTTTATCAACAAAATACGTCTGTAATTGATACTATTTCGGAAAAAAGATGGAACTGTTATTCACTCAATTCAGGAGATTGGATCATTGGGGAAAACACCTTAGGGAACTTTTCATCTGGCCTTCAACCACAATTCAGTTACCCAAGTGACCTGAATGAAAAATTGATGTAAGTCCTCCAACTCTTAGGTTGAAAAGGCAATGAGTAATCTAAAACGAACGGGAGCAGCCGGACCTGATAGACTTACCCCTGAGATGACATGGTTCAGAATGAATCACAATGGCATAGGTGTATACACTCTTTGTCTCCTCTCAAACCGTGAGATTAAAATTGCTTTATACCTTTCTTTCTACGAACTGATTTTCTCTTCCTGTATTATATCCTCATACTACCATTGAAGTGACTACTTTGAACGTGGTGTTCATCTTGTTGTGCTAATGAAGTGTGGCAACTTGAACTGATGCATATATGCCTGTTCCTACGTTGTAGCTGTCTGACTGAGATTTTAAAGGATTGTGGTCGGGTTTTAGCATTTAGATTAACTGGGATGTTCACTAAAATCTGGAAACGACGTGGTCCTATCTGATTGGCCTTGATCGTTGATCGTCCCAGTTTATAATAAAGGACAAAAATCCTCTTGTCACAACCAAAGATGAATCAGTTTGAATAATATGTTATCTAAAATAGTAGCCTCAGTTTTATTTCGACGTTTAGCTAGAGCTCGTGACGAGCAACGAGGGAAAATCAGACTATTTTCATACCTGGGATTGGATGTACAGGTAGAATATTCAACATTAACCAAGTTCTGGAACATAAACGAACCTTTCGACACCCGACTATAGTTGCATTCTGTTATAACATGTGGCCTGTGTGCCCTGTTAATGTATAACTTAACGATACTGCCAATTAAAGAGCAGTGATATATCGATCGGATCAATGACGCGTAAACCTGTATGACCAGTCTAGAGTCCTGATTGGTCCTGCTTTCCGCCTAGCCCAGACAATTAGGTCCAAAACACCAATCTCAGTCTCTGCGATATGAATCATTATATTTCAAACATACTGAGTTTATATACCAATCAAACAGACCACAACGTACCATAAAATAGAAAACAACATTTGTACAAGATTTGGCCAAAAGTGGCTGTGAATGTAGGAGGTATTAATTAATGGACAGGGCATAATTCAAGAATGGTAAAGCGTATAAAAATGGCTCATAAATCAAAATAAAGCTTATGATAAGAAGAATATGAATAGTTTAGTTATTTAATAATTATACGATAAAAATATATGTTCAGTATTGGATCCCAAAGTTACCATTCATTATGCTTATCAGGACCTAACACATTCCTTGACATTAAAATGGCGTTTGACTCCGTTGATCGTTAGGCTATGTAGAATTATCTGTCATCGCGAGGCGTACCAAAGAAGAACATTAGCCTTTACAGGCTCTCTAATCAAACACTTATGGCTAACTCGTCGAAATCGGTTACTTCAGATGGTGTTCGTCAGGGTTGTCTTTTTTCTCCATTTCCATTGAACGTTCTCACCAACATACTTTTGAAGATAAAACTTTCATCATCTGACTATACAGCGGTTGATCTTCTACCAGGAGATTAAATTGTTGTCTTAAAACATACAGATGATGTGGTTCTGTTTGGTGAAAATACTGAAAATATTCAGTCATCTGACCACCATAATTAACAATGCTTGCATGTTTGGAATGTGGTTCTCTCTCTTCAAACGTAAGATGTTAGATCACGATTGGCTTGCATCAACGCCTGATTTATTGATAGGAAGTGAAGTAGTTAAACGCATCGATCGTTTCATTTACCTTGAGAGTCTCATCAGTCTTGATGGTCTGGCCTCTCGAAATCTCAGCAGTCAGTCAGTCAGCTACAACGTAGGACCAGGCACATATGTGCATCGGTCTAAGTTGCCATACCGCATCAGCACAACAGGATGAACACCGGATTCATAGCAGTGGTTAGGTCAAAGGTAGTAATAAAAGAAATTCAATAGGATATAGTACAAGAAGAAAGAATTGGTTCGTAGAAAGAAAGATATTAAGTGATTTTAATCTCTTAGTTTAAGGGAAGACAGAGAGTGTATACACCGACGCCATTGTGATAGATTCTGAGCCATGTCACCAAGAGTCTCCAACCATTGGTTACGAAAGTCACGCGGACCCCAACCAAGTAGTCTGCATCTACCAACATGGCTCAAACTAGAAGTTAGTGACTTCAGGCACTGATGCCACGTTTTGTTTTGGCCGCCCCTAACATTCTTCCAACCATCTGCAACACCTGTTAGCATTGCACGTCGTGGTAATCGGTGTTTGCGCATACGTAACACGTGTCCCAAGCATCTCAGTCGATGAAGATTCATAACCTCATCAACTGATTTACCATCATTCCCTAATACCCTGCGTCTAACCTCACTATTACTTACTCGGAGATCCCAGCAGATATGAGTAATATTTCTAAGGCATTTGTGGTCAAATACTAGTAGCTTACGAGTGTCTTCTACTCTTAAAGGCCATGTTTCGCTGCCGTAAATTAAAACAGAACGAACTGCCGCGCAGTATACTCGTCCTTTTATTGATAGACGGATATCTCGCCTTCGCCACAGGTGACGTAAGTTGGCAAAAGCCAAGTGAGCTTTTCGAATCCGTGCTGAGATTTCTTTAGACACCAACCCATGAGGGCTGATCAGACTTCCAAGATAAGTGAAGTTGTCAACGCGTTCGACTACTTCACTCCCTATCCTTAGTTCAGGTGTTGACGGAGACCAGTCCTGAAGCAACAACTTTCATTTAAAGGTGGAGAAATTGTTCAACAATATATTTTCTAATATATATTATTTATACTTAAGTATATAATATTAACTTACTTGCATTATACGTTGATAATAACGAAATAAAACGAGAAAGATCACCATGCGGACGCCATAATTATGCCTGTGTTCTAATCTGACGAATGTGAATATGGGTCGATCAGCCACAGCATCTGTATATCGAGGCTAGTATTCTAGGTACTATATTAGTTAAACTAATCCCTCTATGGTTGTCACAAGATGATTTTGACCCTTTCTTATATATTGGGACGATAAGTGATTGTGACCAGTTAGATGGGATAACGTCTAACTCCCAGATCCTAGCTAAAATATTAGTCAACCTAATTGCTAAAATTGGACCACCATCCTTAAAGACATCTGGACCAGCTGCCCTTCCACGCTTTAGATTACTTAGCTCCAACACGGATTCCGAGGACTCAACTGGCTTTCTCAAGCTTGTGTCACTTATGGCGTAGGCAAGATATCCGTCTTCCAAACAAAAAGCGAGTTTACTGCGCAACTGTTCGCTCCATCCTATTTTGTG